AATGTCGAGTTGGTACTTCGTGGCCTCATCAACTAATTCATGTTCTTTTCCTCTGAGTGAGAATATGTTCTAATTCCTGACTTTAAGCCCCTACTGGCAGTGTCGTTCCTTTTCTGACGTGCCATAATGGCATCGCGCTGTCTGCCTCCTGTTCAGAACGGGTAGCGACTCCTTTTCTGACTGGTATCCTCGTCGTCATTCCGTCGATCTTCTTCAGCCATTGTGCTGCTATGCCCCCGGCTGGCAGAGGGCAGTGAGGAGGTTCTGATCGCCGACTTTTCGCAGTCTGCCTCAGTCTCCCAATGGTGTGCGCGGCCCTTGGTAACCCGGGCGACGACCGGGTATAATTTTCGTTAACGTTAGTGCCATGAAGGACAGGTGGATACGTTTTACGTAGACTTCGCCACGGTCTCCAACCCTCGTCCGTTCTCATCCAGACGTAGAACTGACGCGATAAGTCTTTGAGTGGATAGTGGATCTTTGAGTGGATCTTTATGGTAGTGAATTTGGATTGTACAGTTTGCCGCGAGCGAATTATTGACTATAATTTTGTTGTATTATTGACAGTGTTAAATTGTTTGACTTTAAAACTGCATGTGTTCCCTAACTGGTCAAAAGCTTTTCCGATCCGCTGATGGGTGAGAGCCTCGCCAAGATTTTACCATAAACTGCTGTTTTCTGCTCTGTATGAATATCTGGTTATGTGTATTAATATGTGATTTTGCATTTCTTCTACAGATTATGCGGTTGACGTCCATTCTTACGTCTTGCCTGAGTTTATCAGTCGCAAACGCAGCAGTGTATCATCTGTGGAGAGCAACGCTTCTGACGGCAGCGTGACCAAAGTGATGAAGAGATCTCATGCGACCAAAATCCAATACCGAAGCAGTACAATCATTGGAACTACTTTTGAATAACCTGTTAACTGTGTTTTCAGAGTCACTGTGGAAGTGGTGTGGCTCCCCTGTTTCCCAGCCGCCCAAGTCTCGCAAGCGCTTTTATCTGGCAGTTCAACAGAAGGATGAAATTATTCAGGTACAGGGCGAGTTAAGTGCATTTATTTTTACGTTCTTAGGACATGCAAATTTATTCAGATGATGGGACATTAAGTCAATAGGTTGAGGTATAATTTCGTGTCATTGCTTCTCTACACCCTCATTCAATCAGTGAATTACGACTACCGTTTGGTATTGCCCTAGTTAACGCTTTCCCCCGGATTTCGCCATAAAACTGAATAGTATAATTTTAATTTTGTCCATAGCTCTTCCGTGATAAAGGCATTTTAGTCTTATTCCTTCATCTGGATTATTATGCAATGGTGATTTCTGTTTCGGTGTTATCACCCAGTACTATTTTTGCTAATAAGTCGGTTAGTCAGTTAGATTCTCACTGCGGCCAGTTGTCTCGCATTCCTTTCCCACGTGGTGGTACCTGTTTGTCTGTCCTTGGAACTTAGAAGGAACAAAGGCAACTAATTCGGCCATAACCGCATAGCTGACGGTTTACCGATTGAGTTTCCGTGTAGTTTACTTCTTATGTATCAGAGCTGCGTATCGATCTGTTGGGTCATACCAGAATGAGCGAGAGGTATGGTCATGTTTTGTGATACAAGCGCTTCATATGGCTGCAGTTCGCCTTAATCCACGCAGTAGCTGCTTATTCAGTTTGATAATTAGTGAACGCGTAATGCCTGTTGCTGTTGTTTTGTATCATTATATCGTCATCGAATCCGTGATCCTGTCTTGTCTAGTGACAGGAGACGTTGTTCAGTTTCTCAGGATAATTATGAGATTATATATTAAAAAGAATCCTTTCAGATTCAATAAATTGTTAATATCGATCCAGTTATAGGCAACTGTATGATGTAATTCATTTGATTTTTGAACTGCCGGAAGGATGAAATCCTGCACTTCAAAAGATTTGTTCGTCCGTCTTACCGCGGAGTCGATTTTTTTTAAACGATTTGCAGATTTGTCTGTCTGTATTTATTGAAGATGTTAAATCAGGAATTCCACCAGGTTTCCATCTCTCACCAGTGTACTTGTTTGCAGTTACTTTAAATTAGCGTGTATAAGTTTACATTGTCTCTCTTTGATAGTTAATGATTTGTTCCCGTAAATGAAACCCTTAGTTAATATTTGTGATGCTAAAGAGACTGCTGTTCCGTTCTGGCATCCGGTCCAATCCCTTGTAGTTTGACAACGTGACAGTTGACTAATGCTGCCATACTATAAGTCATAATCGTTGCGGCAGTGTGTAAAAGTAAGCTTCCTTCGAGAGTTTGTTCCTACGATGAAACTGGATGTAGCGCGACCTCGGCATACCCACTTTTCCGCGTCTTCTTTGGACGGAAAAATCGAATAGCGGTGCTAGGACGTTGAACAGAATAGTCACCGCATACCGATAGACGCTTTAGTCAAAACCGTTTGAGTGTTCTGGACACTGGAAAGAGCTCTAGGAAAACGAGGGTGGTGTCAAAGAATTGAAAAAAACTTTAAATTACTTCATCAAGTGCTTGCTAGAGACACGGGACGTGAGCCTACCATTTTCGAATATATTTTCTGCTTATTACTGTAGCTATTTGCCTGCTTTCTGGTCTTACGGTTTGTGAATACATCAGCTGATACATTTCTTCATTGTTTAGATTGGAGATTGTGTTGAGTTTTTTACCACTCCACAGGGCAAGCTGCCTTACGTCGGAATCGTTCAGAAGTTATGGAGCGTTTCGTCGAGGATGCGAGTTCGCGTCTCCTGGTATTATCGCGCGTTGGAAATTGACGTCAGTTCCGACGTTCCATATCAAGAGGTATCAGAGGGCAGAGTCTTTTTTCCATCTTACTCAGCAGTTTGTTTTTTAGAATGCGCTCTATTCGTCGAACCATGAGGATGAAAACGAGGTGAACACGATTTCCCATAAATGTTTGCTGCTATCATTGGAGGACTTCCGCGAACGAAAGCGCAGCCAGAAGCCAATGGAAGATGTATTTTATTTAGCCGGGTCTTACGACCACGTTAACCGTGTGATCACAGCCAGTTTTACTGGGTGACTGCTGCCCATACGGTTGTTTTTTATTGGATTGTAGATAGCCGTTTTTTGTCAAGTCCAGTCTGTTCTCCATTTGATGTGAACTAAGCTGTCCTTTTTGATCGCCCAAACTACGATGTTGCTTTCGAAGATTTTTTGCGAATTCGGTCACTCGCTGCCTACCCATGTCCATTGAAAATTATGCAGTTGGGTGAATTATGTTTTTCGCTTTGTATAGCTCTATGTCTCTTCTGTGTAACGAGTGCTGTGCGTCGTCGCCTCCGTTGCACCTTTGTTTTCAGAATGTATTGTTTTGAAAGGGATCCGTATTTAGCGAGAGAACGCCCTAAAGACAGTAAGTTTCATTTCAAGAAGGTATTGGATTTGGGCGTTTTCTTGCACCATTCTTGCAACCCAGATCCTACGGTTTTTGGCGCGTTTTATTCTCAGTGAGTTGTACCGGTCTCTTTGAAGTCGAGTTTCCTCATCCAGGTGTTTCACTTGTCGAGACGGGTGTGAAAAGCGCGTATTTTTGTATTTTAACGATTATTATCACACCATTGTTTCTTGGTAAATTTTTGTTCAAAGTGCTTTGTAATAAATTTCAAAAAACTTAATGTCGTACAGGGAAAACATTCGACTTTCTTACAACTGTACGGTCAGCGGGCTTATTGGCCCCTTGCGTGTGCAGCGCATATGAAGTTGCTGCATGCTCATCGACCGGGAATCACGTTTAGCTATGCTGGTGATTTGTCTGGAG